CCCAACTGGAAGACAAGTCTGAGGGAAGAACAGAAATTAATATAATAGAAAATAAAAAGTGGCCGGGCACAGTGGCTCAAGCCTGTAATCCCAGCACTTTGGGAGGCCGAGGCGGGTGGATCATGAGGTCAACAGATCGAGACCATCCTGGTCAACATGGTGAAACCCTGTCTCTACTAAAAATTACAAAAAATTAGCTGGGCACAGTGGCGCGTGCCTGTAATCCCAGCTACTCAGGAGGCTGAGGCAGGAGAATTGCCTGAACCCAGAGGGTGGAGGTTGCGGTGAGCCGAGATTGCGCCATTGCACTCCAGCCTGGGTAACAAGAGCGAAACTCCATCTCAAAAAAAAATAGAAAATAAAAAGAATAGAAATTTCCAAAAGAAAAGTCAGAGCCAAACATAGTGTTTTTGTTAAAAAAAAAAACTTGAATAAGATATACAAACTTCTGGAAAGATAAACTGAAAGAGAAAAGGAAAAGAGAGAGAGACAGAGAGAGAGGATAAAAGAACATTATTAGTAATAAAATGGAGACATAAATAAACATGCAACAGACTTTTAAGAATTTTATGATAATAAATTAACACTATTATTTTGAAAATGTACATAATATAGACAACTTTCTTAGAAAAAAAATACTTTAACAAAACTTAAAAAGAAATAACCATATAAGAAGGCCAAACAGCAGGCCAAAATCTAGCTACATATATACAGGTAGATTTATAATTTTACAAAAGCTGCATCTCAATCTTATTTGAAATTTACAGATAAAGAAACAAGGAAGATAGCACCTCAACTCAATTAATGAGGCCATTATAAACTTGATTCTTAAAACAGATTTAAAGCTCCATATACATGCAGAAATGCTAAATGAAATATTCTTAAATTTAATCCAGCAATTTATAAAACTATGTCATGAACAAGCAAGTTTCTTCAAGCATATATGGATAGCTTAACACTAGTAAATCTAAAAATGCAATTCATTACACTAATAGATTGAAAGAAAAGATTATGTAATACATTCAATACATGCAGAAATTTTTATAATGTTTAATATCTATTCCTGATAAAATCTCCTCTCAAACTAAATGTTTTCTTAACCTGATAAAATGTTACTAGAATCTGATAGTAGTATACATCACTCTAAATGGGAAACCATTATAAGATTTTCATTTTCAATGAGAAAAAGAGAAAAATGCCTGCTCCGCCGCTTCCTTCCAACGTCATACTAAAGGGCACAATATGACCAAAGAAACATGTAAAATGATGTTGAGAATTGTCAGAGAAAAGACAAACTGTGATGAGTGAATGAAAAGAAATGACTGAGCTGTAAGTGCAGAACCTAGGGACTGTAAATCAATATAGTCAATTCTATAAAGGGGTGACATTCGATATTGTAGCCATTTCTTAAGTAATAGAAGTTCTTCTGAGAGTATTTTTTTACTAAAGTGCTATAAATCATCATTTAGTTAGTAAGATAGCCTCTGAGACATTCAGACAAAAGGATTCTGTGGGGAAGCAGCAGGGGATAAAGTATAATATTAATAGATAAGCCACCCTAAACTTATTTCTCTTTAAATTTCTTATTGAATGGAATATTAAACTGGATAACTGCAACTTTAATCTCAGGGTGGAGAAGATTAAGCCTCAGGTTAAGCTTGTACCATCTGCTGTATTAAGTAGCCCAAGGAATAATTCCCTCTGGTAGGTAGGTCGTAATGATCTCACAGTGAGCTTCTGAAGACTTGAAAACATAGTACTCAAAGAGCTGTAAGCTGGGTTTATTTTGCTGGTGCTATTTTAAGGAACTGTAAAGAAAGAAAATAACCCCCTAAATGAGTGCCAGGATATGGCAGATGCGGATTATCCACAGTAGAGGCCCTAATGGGCTTGGTCTCATCTCTTTTCAGTACTGTCCTTTTCTTCCTCCTTAGATATAATGTACTTTCATTTTCTTTCTTAATTTCTTGGTCTATCCTGTTCTTACTCCTGAGTCTGTCTTTGATTTGCTCTCATGAGGCCCATCCTCCCTGTACCACCTCCTTTGTTCCTCCCCTTTTCTTTCTCCTTTTCCCTATCCTGTGACTGGACTGATCACTGCATTTTTAAGAATTGCAATGTTTGTTGAATAACATAATAAACATTTCTCTCAATTAGGAAATAACTTTAATCCTTATAAGTTTCTCAATCATTACACCACCAGAAGAGTTTAAACCACACTTACTTATTTTTTTCTTGTTAGTGCATTACTGGCTTTTGATTGGGGGAAGTGGAAGGTGCCTATCTTCCTTGGGATGGTAACGTTTACTGTCAACACTTTTGGGTTTTGTGCTGAGGAAAGGTGTGGTAGGAGGTTAGGAAAGATTAAATTGGTGGCAATGGAAACCAAGGTGCGGGTAGAAAGAGATGTGAGGCTGTGGGACCCGTGAGAAGTTTGTTATAATCTATATCCAAGATGAAAATGGTCTGTCTAAACCACAATAGTGATGTTAGAAGTGGAAGGTAAATGACAGACGGGAGAAAACAGAGCAGTATGTACAGGACTTCTGATCTATTATATAGTGGTTGGGTGAATGAAGAAGGAGCACTCCTGACAAACTTCTGGTCTAATGTTTGCATGGTACTCTGTAGCCTCGAAATCAAAGTCCATAGCACCCAAGTTTACCAGCCCTGTGTTCTGGGGTAAATAACGTCTGGCCTTTCACTACCCTACTTATAATGTCACTTGCCTTGTCTACACCGGTGAATTGTGAAACTCTGATAAGACACTGACAATAGTAAAATGTTTTATGAATATTATATGATAGGACCATACCAATGGTTCCTCAATCATCACCACCAGAGACATGTTTTAAAGGTGGAGTGATAGCATGGAAAGGTCATGATTTGGGTGCCATGATACTGGCTTTGCTGTATACTAGATTTGTAAGTTCAAATTAATCAACTAGTCTCTCTAAGTCTCAGTCTTGTCATCTGTAAAATAGGTATAATGGCATCATCCTTCAATTTGCAGATTTAGAGATATATTTATGAAAATGCTTGACACCTAATAAATGTTTTTTTCTGTACCTTTATGTTTCTTTCTGCATGTGCATATGACAGCAATCACACAGGAAAGATTTGTTTGCCAACAAAACAAACTGAACTCAAGTAAACATGAATTACATTTTTAATTTTTAGATTAAATCTACCTTTTTCTACCTGTAAAAACTGATAGGTTATCTAAAGAGTAGATAGTCATTTAGCATGGACTATTGGATTTTTTTGGACTGATATTGAAAATATTATCTCTTTCTCTAAGGTAGATTAAAGTTAAAATAAAATTTTTATACTTTATTTAAATACAGAATAAAACTTTTTATTACACTAATAAATTCAGGCAACAGTTAAAAATATTAGAGCAGCTTATACGCTTAGGGTATTATATAAATTTAAGGTAGAATCAAGGCTTCCTTTAATATCTCTGAAAAAATAAAGTCCTAATTTTTAGTGTTTTCAAACATTTTTAGTAAAAAACAGATGTTGTTATATATTTTACAGAATTGTTAGGATGGTAAAGCACAATGATATACAAAGGTAGCAGAAGTTGGGAAGGGAGGAGAAATGGAGGATAAGGGGAGTGATTAGTTAAAGGACACAAAATGATAGCTGGTTAAGAAGAGTAAGTTCTGGTGTTCTATGCCACTGTAGGAGGACTCTAGTTAATGACAATACGTTATGTATTTTCAACTAGCTAGGAGGATATTGAAAGTTCCCAACACAAAGAAATGATACCTGTTTGACATAATGGACATGCTAATTATGCTGATCTGATCAGTATATTTTATATGTGTCTAAACGTCATTATGTACCCCATGACTATGCATAATTATTTGTCAATTTAAGAAACAAAATAAAATGAACCAAAAACAAATGGCAGAAACAGAAGAAGTTTTAACAACGTACAGTAAAAGGTATAATATTTACTATTCTCACAGCCACTATAAATCAGTAAGAAAATCAATTTGTATATAGACAATTCAAAGAAATACAAAGATCCAATAAACCTCAAAGATTTTTTTTAAAAGAATGTATAGGGGAGCCAGTACCGTGCCTGGCAGAGTATAAGCTCACAAAACACATTACCACCTTCACCTCTCACAGCCTTTGTCATGTAACTCTCAAAGACCTTTCCTGGTAGATTATTTTCAACTCCCTGAGTTTGGTCTTTTGACTGGCCTCCAGCTTCTTTCCAATCTGAAAGACTCATCCCTCCAGTTTCTTCCTCTTTTATCTACCAGTAGGAAAATTTCAAGGAGGAAAGAAAACTAACCCAGTGTTAGGGAGTCCCATCTCCCAGTTTACTGCTTTCTGCTTTACTTACAAGAGTATTCACAATCTTTCCTTTTGCTCTCTCTATCCACACAAAAAAGTACAAACTGTTTCTTAAACTGGGAAGATTAAGATCCTTTTGCTCCCTTCTCTATTTCTACTTCATGGCAATTTAGTTTCTCTGGGGAAGAATGATCTAGGATATTCCCTCCCTCCTATCTTGGGACAGAGAGTGGCCTGTTGGACTTAGTTTTCTGTATATTTACTAGTTATTCATTTAACAGCCCTGTCTGACAGGTTTATCTGAAAAAGCTTCAAACACTGAGATTAAGGTTACAAAACATAAGCTTTTAAAAGCAAAACAAAAAAAAAAAACTAAGAAGGAAATAAATTAGATTTGAATTCTTCACCATGAAATGTAAAAGTTTAATCAGCTAATGGTAAATGGCATGGTGAAAGAAACTGCACAGGGGAAAAACACACGTAGTTGTGACTTTTGGTCTTTAAAAGCATTAAATCAAAGAAGAAAAACTGACAGATGCAGCCAACTTTGAAACCTAATCATATGAAAAAGCCAAACATAAAATAAATATTATCACTGTTGTAGACTCTCATTTTTTCTATCTGGAAAGTTGTTCCTGCTGTTGACCTTCCAAGTAAGGAGAATTTTCAGGTAAATTAGTACTCACCATCGTCTTTGTCAGGAAGGATTGTAACCTGAGCCCCTGGGAACTCTGATCCGATTCTCCCTCCCATGGGCATGCTCAGAAGGACATGGAAAGTTTCCTCCTCCTCATACAAGGAGTCGTCAATTACGACTATCCGACACAGTTTCTCCCGTTCATCTTTGTCAAAGCGGACAACACTGGTGTGGTCCTCAGGCCTGGATATGTAATCGGAGTAAGATAACACGGAAGTTGGCACAGTTCCAGTTGCTGTTCCTGGAAGCAGAAAGGATTCAAAAGATTTTTATGTAGAACATAAGACAAAGATATTTCCAGACACAATTATTTTCATACACAGCATTTTAATGGGCAGTTAGTAGACATGAACACTCCTAGAATTGCAATAGCAACTCTGTACTCCTCTAGTATCCTGAGTCGCCTTGAGAATGACCTCAAACCTATACACCTGTAAGGAATATTACATTTCCAGTGCTCTCTCCTGTCTTTTCTGTCAATAAACTTTAGATCAACACAATGTTACGAATTAATAGCCCCCACTATTCAAAAGCTCACCATATCGGGGCAAAGCATCAAGTGCTTCACATACTTGCCTCCGTAACCCTCTCAACCACTCTACTGGGCTTTACACATTTGGAAACCGAGGTTTTGAGAAGTTGAACCACTTGCTCTGGGACCTAGAGTTCAAGGCTGGTCCTGAAGTTGGCTTTTAATCACTCTTCTGTACTGCCTCTCAAATCATATATCCATGAATGAAAATTTCAGCAAATGTCTACTATGATATCAGCATATACGACTTTTGCTTTTGCATTTTTAGAAAATCTACTTTTTTTCTAGAAAGGGGTCTAGCATACTAGTGAATATTATGTATTAATTTTAATTTTACATTACATAAAATCACCTTCCATAGGGTGCTTGCTCATGAGCAAAGCAAACATTTGGGTATTTCTTTGAAATGAGTTTCAAACTGGTTTTAAAGTACTTCCTTTTCCTTGGCTATGCATCACTTTGCCTCTTTTTTTTTTTAATAAAAAAAAAACAGTAATGCATTTCTACTTGAGCAGATTTGGGTGGGCTGTAGTTCCTTGCAATCCAAAAAGCCTTGAGTATTGCAGTAAGTGACCAAGTGAGATCAGAAAGAGGACTCCTCAAAGGTGAAATCCCGAAGAAAGACTTCTAAATGAATCCTTTTATGTATTTATGGAAAATTAATAAAGTATACCCTTAGTGGCAAAATGTTATGGCTCCCACATGTTAAAAAGGCTCATTTATATCTTTCGGGACTTATCTTAGGTTTTTGGCAAATTGAGCTACCTTGTTGGGTATAGCAGACCACCATTAACTCCTGGCTCACATCCCCGCTCCTCCTGATGGTAATGAACAGCTCACCAACATCTTCTTCAATGGAGTATTTGGACTGGGGAATAAATACGGTTGATTCTAAAGAGAAAACACAATTACAGACAGTATTATTTTTGTTTGAGCTTCTTACCACTGAAATAATCATACACAATGAAAACTTCTCTAATGATTGATATTTTTCCCTTTGAATATTCTTTACAACAACATAGTGGGAGGAAAAGGAAGAAGGAGAGGGGAAAATAATTGGGTATAAAGTGTGTAGGCACTTGGCCAGTGAATTCTTAAATCTAAAAAAAAAAACCCAACATGGCTTTTATCTCTAGTAATTGTTTTCTATCTCTAGTAATTGCTTTCTTCTAAATTAGTAAGTCTTGCGGACACAGTTTTTTATAAATCTAACTGTTCTCTTGGCACACATTAACACCTTCCAATGGAGTACAATTTGAGAGGTGGAAATGACCTCAAAAGTCACCTTGTCCCACCTCCCAGTTTACAGATGAGGAAACTCAAGCTCGTGCAGTTGAACTCATTTGTCAATGGCTGGCCACGTCAGAATTGGAACTCGGATCTTGAAATGTCTGTTCTGTTGTTTTTTTCATCCAAAGTGTGTTCCTTTTGGACAATTCGTGATTAAAATTACAATAATACATTGCTCATTCAACCTTTTAAAAAACAGCTGTTCCTTAGAATTGATAAATCTATTTATCAGCTATAAAAAATATTTCTGGCCGGGCGCGGTGGCTCAAGCCTGTAATCCCAGCACTTTGGGAGGCCGAGGCGGGTGGATCACGAGGTCAGCAGATCGGGACCATCCTGGTCAACATGGTGAAACCCCGTCTCTACTAAAAATACAAAAAATTAGCTGGGCACGGTGGTGCGTGCCTGTAATCCCAGCTACTCAGGAGGCTGAGGCAGGAGAATTGCCTGAACCCAGGAGGCGGAGGTTGCGGTGAGCCGAGATTGCGCCATTGCACTCCCGCCTGGGTAACAAGAGCAAAACTCCGTCTCAAAAAAAAAAAAAAAAAATTTCCGTGGTTCCCTTTCACCCTGGCAGAATAACATATACGACATTACCAATGATTCTTTTTAGCATAGTAGAAGAGCATGCTAAATGATAAAAATGGGGTGATTAAATTGTTAAAAAAATGCAGCTATTGTGTAAAATGATAAAAACCATTTAGTACAATGGTTTGACTATGTAAACCCTAAACAGATACTCTGGTATTTGACTGGGAGTCTGTTTCAGTGAGACTCTCACACCACACAGAAAACACTTCATGATTATTTTTAAAAGTTAACCTTATGATTTTCAATAATTATAGAAGACTGTTGGAACAGTGGATATAGCCTTGGAGGTCCATGCTCCACCCTGCTCCACCCTGTGCTGTGCCCCAGGAGCTGGCAAAACAGGAATGTTTCCCTTACACTCTGGCTCCTGGCTGGGTCAGCCAATGGGGAAAACAGGAAGGACCTCGGAGGGCAAGAGCAGAGTGGGCCAGGCGTTTATTCCCTTGGTTTCCCTCAGGGTTTCCAGAGCTGGCTGCACAGCCTCCACGAAAGGTTATGGTGCCTGGCTCTGTAACCTCTGTGGCTCTGGCGCAGCTAGCCTCTCCTGTCCTGTGCCTAGAGGTGGTGATGAGGCTGCTCTCATTAGCCTTAAAGCACTTTACCATGCCCAGGTGTTAACGGGTCTTTGCCCTCTCCTTTCTAAAACAGTCCTGTGATCCAATCCTTTCTAAATTACTCATTTTGGGTGTGCCATTTATTTTCTCCTGGGGTTGTGACTGGCATACTAATTTTTTAAATGTCCTCATTTTAAGAAATCTGTGAATATAAAATTTTGTAACTATTTATCAAATATTGGTTGGGTGACATCACCTTGCCAAACACTGTGCAGGGGACACAGAAGTAACAAAATCCTTTTCCTCATGGGGTTTTTAATTATAGTTGAGGGGTGGGGAGGAGGAAGAAAATATGTATACAAGAAAATAGGTAGCATATTAGGGGGCAACAAGTTACATGAAGAAAATAAAATGTGCTGAGGTGACAGTGAGGGCTGTGGCTGGACATAGTATGAGTGGAGGGGTTGAGGACACATAGGAACGTTGCAACAAATGTCTCTGTAGAATCAGAACCACATTTGAGCTGAGATTGGAAGGTAGTAATAAAATGTCCTATATGAATAACTTAAGAGAATTCCAGGTAAATGGATGGACAAGTGAAAAAGGCCTCGGGCCAGGTTGTACCAAGTCTTTACAATGATCAGCCAGGAGGCCACTGTGCTTGCAGCAAACTGGGCAAGGAGGCGAGCATAAGACATGAGGCTAGAGAGGTAGTGCAGGGGTGGGTGGTGGGAAGATCACAGGAGCCCGTCAGGACTATTGGAAGGACTTTGGTTTTTACTCATGGTTAAGATACGGAAATAAACAAAGATCAGCTGGGATGAGAACAAGCATATGTTGTTTATTCATAGCTTGCTATAGCAATGGAGTCAGCCATTGTCACTTTTGATAAAGACCCAAAGACAGGCAGAGATGTGGGAATGCCTGATAGTGGAAAAAAGGGAAGGCTTCAGGAGTGCCCTGAATGGAGGCTGCCGACGTGAGGAAGCTCTAGCGGATTAACTAGAAGTGAAGTATGCTATGGGGTATCCTACGGTTAGAGGTGCATATTTGGCTCTGTCTGGTTGTTCCAAAATTTCAAGTGGAGACAAAAATGAGGAAAGCCATCATCAGATCCTGACCACTGGGGGCTGATTGCCGAAGAAGCCGTCTTTGGCTTTCTGGTTGCTGCAGTCTGTGCTGCAGAGCTGTATTTAATGTGTGGTCTGCCTACAGGCTGTTTACATATTCAGTCTTTCACTCTGAAACCATGGGAAGTCTTCAGACATGGGAGGAAAGGTGCCATAATCTGACATTCTTTAAGCACGTAAGTTGTGGCTGCTGTAAGATAAAGAGACACTAGGTCCAGGAGTTGAAGTAAAGAGCCTGATCAGGAGATTTCACAACTATAGAGGTAAGCGATCAGAGAAGCTTTGACCAGGCAGTAGCAGTGGAGGTGGAATGACAGGGCTGCAGGCAGGAATATAAAGGCAGAGCCATTCGAGTCTTCTGATGGACCAGATGTGGTATGTGCAAGAAACAGAAGAATCAAAGATGACTCCAAGTTTTGTTGACTTGACCCGAACCAGAAAGATGAAATTGCTGTTTATAGAGATGAGGAAGACTGCAGGAGAATCAGATTTAGGAGTGGAAATCCACAGTTCCATTTGGACATATTAAGATTGAGGTTCCTTTTAAATATCCAAGCCGACATGTCAAATTAGCCCTCTGGTTATAGAATGATGGATAGCAGCGGAGAGGTCTGAATGGAAATCTAAACTGAAGATGTTGATGGTATGTAGAGCCAAGAGTCAGAATAAAATCATATAGATAGATAGATTAGAGAATGGATTTAGGGACTCACCATGGGGTGTCCTAATGCTCTCCCTCCCCTTGCCCCCCATCTACAGACCCTGGTGTGTGTTGTTCACCTCCCTGTGTCCAGGTATTCTCACTGTCCAACTTCCACTTATGAGTGAAAACATGTGGTGTTTGGTTTTCTGTTCCTGTGTTAGTTTGCTGAGAATGTCGGTTTATTTTTAAGATGAGTTTTAGTAACAGCAAGAATTACATCTATTATTATGAAGTAAGGTTTTTACCAAATATAACATTTCAACATAAGAATTATCATGACTTGAGTACAAATAACACAGCAAGTATCACTGAAAATTCAAGTCAAATATTCAATTAGTTTCAGTGAGTTTCTTTTCATTAACAATGAAAATGTGCTCTAGTATCACCTAGATTTTGGCAGTCTTCAGGTCATGGACTCCATGGCATTAGTACGGAATATTACAGAAAGTTTGATTTATTAGGGTTTTTGTTAACTTATTTTTAAGTTCAGGGGTACAAGTGCAGGTTTGTGACATAAATAAATGTGTGCCACAGTGGTTTGCTGCACAGATTATCTAACCAACCAGGTGTTAAGCCAAGCGTAGTGCCTACTAGTTACTTTTCCTGATCGTCTTCCTCCTCCCACCCTCTACCCTCAGAAAGACCCAGTGTATGTTGTTTCCCTCTATTCTCATCCTTTAGGGTTTGTTATGGGCTGAATGTTTGTGTTCGTCCTGCATTATATGTTGTAGCCCTAATGCCCAAGGTGGTGGTATTAGGAGATACAGCCTTTTGGGAGGTACTTCAGTGAGGTCATGAGGATGGGTCCCTCAGGATGGGATTAGTGTCCTTATAAGAAGAGGAAGATGAGATATTTTTCTCTCCAGGACCATGCATCAAGGAAAAGGAAGATGCAGAGAGAAGGCAGCCATTTCCAAGCCAGAAAGAGGCCCCTCGCCAAGAACCAAATGTACTGGCACCTTGGCATTGGATTCTCCAGCTTCCAGAACTGTGAGAAAGAAATGTCTGTTGTTTAAGACATTTACCACAGTCTGTGACGCTTTGTTATAGCAGCCTGAGCTGACTAAGATAGGGTTGGTTATGCATAATATCCATTCTCTGCTGCTAATCCATGCTGGCCAGGTTTTTCTTTTCAAATAAGTTATTCAGAAGTGGTCCATGTATGGGATTTTAATTTAATAAGCTTTTTTTTAAGATTTAAAGCTCGAGTACCTGAGTTTTGGTGTTTGGTTCTTCCTGCACCTTATGACCCTTGAAGGTTTGATTAAGCAAACCAGGACCTCTTGCCAGTGCCAGTAGGTTTGAATTAGCAACAAGAAAGAAAACCGAGTGTCCGGGCTGTGCCCTTCGCTATGGAATTCACTCCTACAGTTGATCTGACAGAGAGTAAACAGGCCCAGTATCAAGTTTAGCTCTTCTGTTGACCTAACTTTAACAGAAATATGTAGGCTGTGGGAGAAACTGGAAAAGGGTATCAGAGAGACAAAGAAAGCCTCCCCGATAGACTTTTCAGGTAACATTCCTTTTCAACTTCACATTATAAATACAATAGAAGTGTCTATGCAGACTGCTTCAAGTAAGCATAGCTCTTTAAGTGCAAAATTCCTTAAAGTGGCATTTGTA